CGCCCCCAAAAAGAAGCAATGTTTGTTCAGTCACTTTGATCCTAAATGAGCTACATGTATTTCTCTATTAGGAAATGTGTTATTCACCTACACATTTAATTTTGATTTGCAGCTGCGATTTCTTTACTCTTCAGATTCCATTTTTACTGTTTTCAAGAAATTGAGAGAGATTACTTGCCCATCTATTTATGTTATAATGAAAAGCAACACGTGACCACTAAAAAAGAGAGCTCAATAACCAACCTTCTATGACGAAGCTATTCATCGCCAGAAGGTCTGCTATGGAGTGCCCACAATATGCCTGCCATGAAATGCGTCACACCACATTAACCCCTAGCAGGTCTAAACCGAAAGGCGCTAAATCCTACAGTCAGAGTCACGCACACTTCATGCGTGACTAAGACAAGTCACGTACAGAGATGTCTTGTGAATCTTCACCACAAAAAGAGCAAAGTACAATAATCGATAGCCAAGGTAAGAACGTGCAAGCAAGGTTTTAGTCCACTTATTGATGACGTAAATCAGCAAAGAAGCGTACTAAACATCACACAGTAATAAAAAGAGCTTCCTGCCTCCGTCAAATTTCACCTAAAGTTTGAAACCTTGTTCCCGGATCTACTTGGCATTTTAAAATTTAAGATGGCGGCTTTTCATCCAGCAGCGCTGACATGGCATTGTGTTCAAGCCCACAGGCATTTTTAAAGCATTGGTAGATGTAAAATTTCTTATCAATTTTCTAAAACAAATCAAGCTTGACATTTGAGTCAGGTGTGTTTTGCTGAATGTAACTTGCTATATCATCTGCACTCATGTCCTGAATGCTGCTCTCTTCCACTGCTGATGTTTGTTTAAACAAATCATCATCGTCCTCTGTCGTTGTAAAAGCTGGTCGTGACGGCGTGTTGAAAATATCGTCTAACGTTTCCTCCTCGTGGGATGACGTTCTAGGGTGGTATTGAGTAGGTGTGAAATTAGTAATTATACAAGACAACAAACTGACTGATATCCACTTTGATGGAGTGTCAACACCTTTCTTAGTACTACAGACATGTGGGACAACCTCATAAACAGATCAGAGTGCATCTCGCAGGATGGCCAGATTTTAGTCCTTATAAATTTCCCTTTCTAAATTATCTCTATATACTCCTTCCAGCTTGCGTTAGTTGTGAAACCGGATCATGCATCAAGTGGTCGCTTTAGCGGTGGTAAGAACAACAGAACATCAACGTTAAGAGTGGCCGCGGTCGCTTAGGTGGCTGTTTATGAAAGGTGGTCATAGCAGGGAGTGGGGGGAGGGGAGTAGGGGAATGGTCAAAGGTAATTAAAAGTCTGCATTGGGCCAAGTGGTCGCGGTTTAGTGTTGTTCCCCCAAGGCGGGATGGGACGTTGTTCCGTTGTAAGATTATCCCGTTTAAATTCTCCGGTTGCGATTTACTACCTCGGTAGAAAGAGGCAATGTAAGAGTATAATGTCTCGCCCCACAACACAACACAATGATCCCAACTAGGACACGAATCCGGACTGCACGATCCGGAAACCGAGACAACAGGCTCAATTCTACGCACACCGTATTCACTATTTTTTTCACTATTCTTGTCAAGTGAAGTGCAATCAACGTAACAAACCTGAAAGAAGATTTCCTTGCTTGATCGAACAAGTCTTGATCTCCACTCGCGGGTACCCTCTTTTTTACCGAAGGTGTTATGTTTTTGTTCTTTGCAACACCAGCAGCTCCTCCGAACAGTTCATCCTCCCCAGCACCTGCCTCGACAAACCTTGGCTTAGGAGTCGGCTTTGGTTTGAGATCAGCTTTGGGTTTGAGGCGAGGCTTTGGCATAGGCTTCGTTGTAGGTTTAGGCGACTTCTGAGGCTTGCATTTTACAGTCAGAAGTTTGTCCAAGTCATCTTCAATTCTGTTAAAAAAAATGAAAGTGCGATATAAACGGTTACCATTAGGCCATTTTCGATATATTAAAATTCTAACTTTGCTATATTAAAATTCTAACTTTTCTAACTTTGGAGAATAAAACAAAAGCCTGACAAAAGAAATTACATCGAGGACGAGAAATGAATAACGGCCTCGCAGCCAAGTTAGAATTTTAATATAACAATATTGGAGTATTCAAGTGATGCACTTGAGTGGGGGATAGAGGCTGAAGCTCAAATAGTTTGGAGAGAGAAAAACTGAAAGCATGGATATATCATCAGCGTGTTTTAGAATGATGACTACATGTATAAATTCAACAAGAACTGATTGAGGTTGGAACTGAGGAGCTACCTCTCAAACTGAAAATCAAGACCGTGACGATGCTTGGATTTCTGATCTTAATTAGCATAAACGTTTTTGTTTTCGTTTTGTTAGAGCGCACGACTATTCGTGTTTGGTTTGTATGGAATTCTTTTGCAGTGCAAGGCCGTTCGACGGCATCTCTCGCTAAATTCCTGATTCTTGTCTGCCTCTGATGATACTTAGCATGAAAATGATTTGCTCTCGTTTCACTGCAGAGTTATTAGAGAATTCATTGCAATAATTTGACATCACTTTTCAGTTTTATTAAACAGAAAAAGAAAAGAAAGAACAGCATTTTTACTCACTCAAGAAGCTTTGAATTGTCTTCTACGTCGATGAGGGCACGTGATCATGTGGGACACCTGTCCAACTTCAGGTCGCGGTAATGGGATGGGACTCCTGAGTAGCTTGCGCGTCAACGCGCGCTGCTTAGCTTGTGAAAATGTTCGAAAGTATCACCGACCATTATGTTATTATTATTATTATTATTATTATTATTATTATTATTATTATTATTTTGTTTTTTTTTGTTTTTGTTTTTTTTGTTTTGTTTTGTTTTGTTTTGTTTTTTCAGAGATACAGGTTCTCTCAGGTTTCTTTTGTTATTGGAGTGACTATTTGTACCCAACTCTCGTTTCGTACAATTCAGCAGGCTGCGAGCTTGACCGCTTTTGCAACTGCTTACTCCCTAGCTACATGTATTCCACTCATTCCAATTACAATGTACATACACGTTTCTAAACATTCAAGCTGGGGTCCGTAATTGGAGAATATCAGCTTAATAGTTCAGCCTGCTCTCAGGCTCTTTCACGAGCTGAGCGCAGCGAGGTCTGTACATAAAAGACCAAAGGCCGATATCCTCCCAATACGTATACGGTCCCAAGCAAACTTGGTTTAATAAGAGATTTATTGCACAAAAGACAATTCTTGGCAAAATTCCCACGAGCAAGCACTAAAAAGACATCGGGCACATCCTATACTAAATGTGCGCAGGTCTCTGTGAGAGCCAACTTCGTACTTACGACTTCTGGCGTTTTCGGAAAATAAGGGAAATTTAAGTCGGGAAGGTAACGAAAAAAAATATTTTACGTCTAAGTTAATATTTTTCTTTTAGAATGTAAGCCAAAACTACACTGAGAAAAAAACACAAGAGTACTGGTGAAGGGTTATACAGGAAAGTGAGCTATCTGATCAGTTAATTTTAGTTATCGGTCCTCTGAACTTACTTGTTTTTATGAAAACTGAGTTGAAGAGTCTCCACGCTGGCAGGTCTATGTAGCCTGATAGCCTCTGGAACAGGCAGTTTAGCGGGGTAAGGGCGCCAAGCGCGATGTACTAGTGTACTTCGGTTCGTCACGCAATCTCTTCCGGGGGAGAAGAGAATGCGTGACGAGCCGAAACAATGTCTGGGTAGGCTACTCGAGGATGTAGCGTGTCATTAAGTCACGCGCTCCGAGCCGGCCAATCGAGCCTCGCACCTCTGCTTTGCTAAACCTCCTCTTATGCTAGTGGTTTTTTCAAAATTTGTCCATCCATGGCATTTAATATTTACTGATTACAGATAAACTTTCCCCCTTAACTCATCCCCCACCCCTCCTTAGAAGGGATTTAAAGGAATCAACTGTGGATAGTAGTTTATCCCGCTCTTAACAGTAATTGGCAAACAACAATCAAATGAGTTTAAACCTACTTTATTCCGTTGAGAAATCAAATAATTTAATACTGTATATAATATATGAAACAAGACCTGCAAAGTCCATGCTTGTCTAGATAAATTAACTCCCCAACATCAAAACACAATAATATGAAAATACAATCTGCTGAAATCTGGTTGAAGATTCAAGTAGTTCTATTGTACACATTTAAAAAAAAGCTGTACCGTCAGCCCTCATAATCTATTTACAATGTACAAATAATAAAATAGCTTATTTACACAAATTTATGTTACAATAGGATAAAGATAACTGCTCCTCTTATGTTACAAATAGAATACTTTGGAACATCTAAATATTAATTGCTTTTCAAATACAAGATGCGTTAAGCATTACAAAACAACGTTACAACCCAACAAGGTGCATTTGTAAATTTTAGACCTTTGAAGAAACTCACAAAACGATTAAAATCAAACACGTTCTTTTTGTTTTGGTCCATAAAAACACCAATGCACCTTCAGGAATTGAAATAATACAGTCTGCCCGCAGATCTTCAAATATTTGCCAGTGTAAATACTTTCATTGGAAAGCAAGCACAAGCTGGCCAAAGTTAGAAAACTGGATTTCACCACCCGAATACAATTTTCAAAAGAAAAGAAAGATTGCGACCCTTCTTTCTTGACACCTTTTTCTTAGCAATCCATGAAAAGAGAGAATGTTCATGGTCTTTGTGTGCCTTGAAACGGTTTCTTAACAAGAACATACTAATTGTACTATTATACACACTATTGTATTGTAGTATATAGTAAATGAAACTATGGCAAGCCAAAGCACCTAAGGCAACACAACAAAGAATAGCAACAAATGTTGAAAACAAAAATTCTTGTAACAATTTAATTGACTTCATTGAGAATTATTTTCCATCCATATCACCCATGTATATTCTCGATAATATTAATTTTCTTTCTTTGCCAAGGACATCTCTCTTTTCCAACAATGTTAGTTAGTTCATAATTCCCCAAACAACTACTGGCCCTTATGTCATAAGAATTCCTAGCGTACACAGCTCCTATAAGAAGCAAAAATATACAAGTAATTTTTCAAACTTGTTAGTTCCAAAACTACTTGACGAGAAAGAATGTGAATTTTGAGAACTTTGAGAGGGACATTATTAGCTCCAGATACAAGAGCTGCAAAAGCTTTTGCGCAGGAGAACACCTTCTTAGTGTGAGTGAATCGTTCACAATTTTGCAGTACTACAGGTAAATAGAATAATCTCAAGTTTAGCGATTCCACATGAATTCATTGTATGCTTTATAGTAATTTGATCAGCCAAGGTTAGAAACTAGTGTTTACAGAACATTCCAGTTCACAACCCTCATTATCTCAGCCACACTCTGAGACAAACTAGTAAAACATATAACCTCTAATTAAATTTGACAACACACAATACTTGATACTAAAAAAACTGCTTTCTTTGTAGCCAATCATTCTGGGAAAAGTAGAGAGGGAGCTGTGTTTGTGGACTCCAACTAAGACAAACTAGTAAAACATATAACCTCTGCTGAAAATTGACTGCAGACAATACTTGATGCTAAAAAATCTACTTTCTTTCTAGCCAATCATTCTGGGAAAACCAGAGGAGGAGATCTGTTTGTGAACTCCAAATTATGACTCAGATTGTGACAAAAGAAATACTGTAAAATCAACAAATTATGTAGCAACATCGAACCTAAATCTGCATTGGTGTATTTTGTACTTAAAGAAACAAGAGGAGCAGTTCTACGTTAATACGATTGACTCATTAATAAATTTGTTACTGTAATAGAGCGGTTTTCAACTGAGTGTTGCAAAACCAAAACCAAAACCAATTACTTACCAATTAGACTTCTCAGCTAATCTCGAACTTTAGTAGAACCAAAACCAAAACTAAAGTAACTGTATAATTACTTTCAACACTCAACTGAAAACCACTCTAAGCATACGTAGGTAATTGTATGAATGGGAGTGCAGGAACACTACTATTATGATATTGGAAACTCATGTGGTACTTGAAAATTCTATCAAAATTGCTCAAAATTTTAGGTGAATGCTATTTCAAAGAATTGTCAAGCACCACAAGTAATGTAAGTCCTTAAAATACCTTTAACTGCTCATTAAAGCTTATAGAAAATTATTAATGTGCCTCCATTAATCTGCCTTGCAGGTGCAGGCTACAATAAATGATAATTTTCCTGCTCTTAGCCAATCACAATGAACTAATTTTCTAACAATCATGGTTCACACCAAACATTAAACCCATCACAAACCAACCATGTGCTAAAAGAAAATGTCAATTTATGCGGAATTTATACTACACCATTATAACAATAAGTAATAACTAATAAATCTTTTAAAATGTCACTGCATTTTTTGCCTGAACAACTGAACAAACAAACCAATAAACTTTGAACACTTTACCAAAACCATTATCATTATTTCCTTTGTTCAAATCGATCTTTTTTGGAGATCTTAGTAAGTCCTCAAAATTCAATCAAGCAAGACTTTTTTCACTTTACATTGTTTGTCAAGCTATTTATACACACCTTAGCAAACCCATTAGTCAAGAACTGCTTGCATGCTGCATAAACGCAGTTACACCCCAGTAACTTTGAGATACAAAAAGGTATATAATTGAAAAATAAATGCCTTATCATAATTTGAATGGCGTAACAAGGTTAAAAAACAATTGAAACAAAACCCAAGAACCCCTATTATAATTATATGAAACAACAAAAATTACCTGAGCATGTACAATGTCTTTGGACAACGTTTTAAGATAATAGAACGGTAAATGCAAGTTTTTAGAACTGGCATGTCTGTGCCAGTAGACTCAGCAATATTGTTAATAATAATAATGGCATGTAGCTGTATGCAAGCATGCTAATAGATAATTAGTCAAAAGTATCAACATTTTTCTTGTTATAGTAACTGGCTCTAGAGGTCCGTCAGGTGAAACTTGATGGATGCTTATTACGTGTACATATAAGCACAGGTCTTCATTGCATCTCAAAGGCATGAAAATCACCATTTAACTACAGTAGACATGAATGAAAAACTACAAGTACATATATGACACAATCAAAAAGATTAACATTCTGATTGGTACCGGCCAACAAACTCTTCCACAAACCACTCTTTTGGGATGCTCAGAAGCACAAACTAAGCTCGTCCAGTTTCCCAAGTGATGGATTTGCTCTTGCAGTAGCCTCCAGAACAGAGTGAACAAAATCTGAAGTGTGGCCAGCAACAAGTTGATTCCCTGTGTTTCAAAAAAAAAAAAAAACAAGCAACAATATTAAGTCTCAGTTCACAACGTGCAATGATAAGAGATACATGTACATGTACATGCCAATGAGAAATCATAGCTTTGATACATTATGTACATGTGCATTTACATGTAAAAGAGAAGAATCTTATGAAATTTCTGGAAGGCAACCACAATACAGAATTTGAAGGAAAAGGACAACATTAATTTACTAAGAAACAAAGTGTAAATTGGACATACAGTGTAGACATAAAGTTTACTGCAAGAAGTGAAGATCACTACTAAAAAAAGAACTTTACTTCTTCAGAGTTCTTTCACAGGGGTTTAATTAAAATTCTCAGCAGAGGGGGCAACTCGTTTTCACAGGCAGGCAAAATGTTTTAAACTTAATTTCTTTATAAGAAAAACCTTCCTCTAGATTATCAGACCAAGTGGCCAAAATTATCCTCACAGCCAGTCAATTTACCCGGTGCCGGCCCCTTAATGAAACCCCTGCTTCAGGTAAAATTAACAAAATAACATCCTAATAAAATTAGCAAAACCTACCAAATGTAGCTTTGACAAGAGCTTCCACTTGGCCACTCAAGTTTGCCTTTGGAACGACAGATTGAGAGCTTCCTTTAAGTATGATTTCTTTCTTCACTTTATCAATGACTTCTGTCAGGCGCTCTACAGACGAAAAATAAAGCAACACCTCTGTCATAATCAAGTCTCACATTACACATGGTGCTGTACATGCAACTTCCTTTCAGAGTCAAAAAACTTTGAACCACATCAAGGACGTGTTCAGGTAGCTTTTACACGTACATACTTGTGCTACACTGAAACACTGTCCATACAATCATATCCAGCAGTGTTAGATGTGGGCAGTGACATCACTTTTCAACCACATGTACTAAAAAGAATTCTTAAACAATTGTTACTAGTAAGTGTAACATGCCCAAGTTTTACTGGTCAGGGTAAAACACAGACTGCAGACTGTTGGCTTTTTAACTGAATCATGTTACCATTTCCATTAATGAAAGCTAACTGTAAAAGGGCTAACAGGAACATTATTCAGGCTAACCTGAAGGATTTTCAGGTTAACTAGAATAATGATCAGGTTAACCGATGAGCTATTCAGGCTCGCAGGAGGGCAGACTTTCACTTCCATAAGCCTGAATAACCCTGTTTAAGGTTAGCAGTCGATGATGGCAATACCAAGGCATTTACTTAGAAAGTCTGTGGTCTGTAGTCTGCATTACACTTCCAGTCTGCAGTCCGCAGTCTTCATTTTAAACTTACTGCAATTTGTAGACACATTTTTCTTTCACTTTCAAGTCTCAGGTATTGGACCTTTAGAACTGAAAGTTTTCCCTGTTGTTCATGAACGTGCAAGCAAAGGAGATACTCACGCTGCTCCAATTCTAGTCCCTGCAACTTGACCTTGTTAGCTTCGTGCTGTGCTTTCTTCTTTAATCTACAAGCCCTGAAAAAAGTACAAGCAAATCTTGAACAAAGCAATACTACTCACCAACAAAAAATAAAGCATATAAAGCAACAAAGCAATACTACTCATTTCTTTAGTCCATGGTGTTATGTCTTCATATAATGTTTCAGGCTTCTCAGAGAAGTTTTCAAGTCTCAAGTTACCATACTCTGCACTTTTTTTTTAGAACATTTCTCAAAAAACTTTCCTGTCCTCTCAAAATAGCATTACTTAAGTTGTCACTTCCAGCTAACCTTTATTAAACTTATAATCACAGATTAGTATTAATCAGCTTTATAACAATGGATGCAAACTAGAAACATCTCATGTTACCCTTCTCACTGGGTAAGCTACATTGTAGGGCTAGGTAAAACACAAGGGATGTTAAGTCATATATCTTTACTGATTGTGAAATAATATACAGCTGTATTGCACCCCTGACTATAACAGTTAAATATTGCTCACATCTGACCTCATAGCTCAGTTGGAGACACAACACGGTGTGTGGCTTATCTTCCTTACCAGCCAAAGGGATAACACTCAAAAAGAATTTACATTGCACGATGCATCACTGACAACAACAGTGCCAAACATTTTTTTTTTTTAGTATCATTTGTTTTGTATTAAGTTTTCTAAGCCTGTCCCTCAATAGGACTACTGTATCCTCAATTTGTTACTGAGAACTACTGTTAGTAGTCTTCTAAACATTTAACTGATTGGCCACCATGTATAAACATTGTCGGTTATCTGATACCACAAGGATTAACAACAATGAAAACTGTTTATCCAACATCCTTGCAGGATGTGCACTGATGGAATTTTAGGCCACGAGTGAGTTTATTTTCCCATCTACATGTAGGCTCGCATTAAAAAAAGGGATGATTTTCTTGATGTACTCAATTAAAATTTTGAAATACACAGAATATAGATATTCCAGCATTACCTTTGGATGGTACATGTTGTGTGGTAATGATGTTATTATGCATGTTATCATGTTATTATTTTTAGCATGAGAAAATACTCTAGACATTTACTACAATGTTCTCTTCTGTCTGCCATAAACATTTTAAAGTCAAACACAAACAATATACCATTGTCTGTGTTTCAAAAAACAACCACTAATATCCAGCCACCCTTAAGCTGTGACATGGATAGTTAACTAGTCCTGTTAGATTCTTGATTTGTTGCAAGTAATATTTCACATTTCAAAAGATTAAACAACATGCATTTATCTGAACCTTTTGAATTTGAATATGTTTTAGCAAATTTTTTTCTTGGAGGACCTCCTTACAACCAAGTTGTCATGTGACTGGCATTTCCTCTGCAAAGATTACAATATAATTTCCTTGTGGCAATTACAGGAGTTTCAAGTTGAGCAAGTTTAAACAGTGATTTCTTTTTCCAACAATTCAAAGATTTTTTGACAGCATTTTTATCCACAACAAACAACTACATCACATGCCAAAATGAACTATCTTACTTTTCAACCTGAGTTTCAGCTCCATTTTGCCTTTTGCAAATGTTACATTCTACATGTCCTTGTTGGATGAAATATTCTCAAAAGAACTGAACAGTTCCAAAAAATATCCATATCCAAGGAAGGTTAACAGAGATTCCAAGGGGTGGGGGGTTTCGAGAGCCAAAATATTTTAACTGGAATTTCCAGGAGGGGATGGGGGGTCAGACAAAAAAACCCTTCCATGGGGAGTATGGAACAACACATATGTACCAATTAAAAAGAAAAAGAAATCACAACAAAACAGAGCAAAGCTGCATTTTCAGGTGAGATTATTATAAAATATGCCCCATGCACCCTTTAGAGTTTACGTTACTGCAATATATATGTAACCAACGAAACAATTGCTCTTAAGGCTAGGGTTGACCAAGGTACAGTCGAAAACCTATCCTAATAAATGTTATTTTCGTATGTGCAGAGCAATGTGCATTAAGCATTAAGCAGAAGTACATGTAATAAAGAAAGAAAGTGTTTAAAATTTACACGAGTGTATGTATGAATTCATTTTATTCCTCCAACGACCCTTTCAAAACGTCCCAATGATGGATGTATCAAGTGTTAGACTCTTTGTTCGTATACATGTACAAAATTATCAAACTTTTGGAACCTCTGAAACAGCAGGGAACTATCACAAACCTTACAAAGTATCGGTAACAGATCGAAGTTCACTGAGGGCGTTCACAAAAAAGCGCAGAATTTTTTTAATGTCCTGGTACATGGTACACAACAACAACGACAACCACATAAAAAACATTCCTTAGCATTCTACTTCCGCAGTTAAACCTGGAAGTCGAAACCTTTCCTCTTAACATCTGTCTTAATTACAAAAATATCCTGGTAATTTTGCAATCAAAAACAAAAATGGATCATGAAGCGATAAACATGGCAAAATCGAGTTGTTTTGAAAGCTTCTAAAGTTGGTCGAAAAGAATCTCGGTGAGTTTCGATACATGCACAATGTACATTACAAAATAACAAACTGAGCGGAAAAATCTGAAGGTCGAGCGACTCCGAGAACATTTTTCTACATTGAGATAACTTTACAAATAGTTTACCTTGAGGCTAGCTTGTTTTTCTCCTTTCTTGACTTGTTCCGGGCGTTCTGTGGCAGCTGATGAATCGGTTTTAAGTCTCCGATAACTTTGTTTAGACGATCAAGCTCTCGACTGATTTCTAGCAACTTCCTTGGATTCGGCGAAAGGTCATCTTGTTCACCTCTTCTCCCCTTTCGATTTCTAGCTAAACCAGCACTGTGCAAATGGCTCTCCACATCAAACTCATCGTCACTGTCCATGTCTTCGTCCGCGGATTCATCGTCCGCAGCTGGGCTACTCGGATCGGCTTCGATCGGTTCCCGCTCTGCTTCAACCTTCGCATTCCCATCCTCGCGCTGTGCCGGACCTGCCGTATATAATCGAGTTTTCATTTCCGCTGAAACTAACTTTGGCATTTGGTTAATGCGATCATTGCCTAAATTTCTTTCTGGTAAAACGACCATTCTCGAAGTTTTCTCATCGTCCGTGGCAACTGTTTTCTCGGACTCTTTTTTGCAATGCAAAGAAGAAGTGTTTCGGGTCATAGTCCATGTAGGTTTGCTGGGAAGTTTCTTCTCCGTTTCTTTTAAAACAGAGGCAGGTTGCTCGGATCTCTCGTTATATTCGCTATTTGATGAAACAGGCTCTTGTTTTAATTGAACAACCCGTCTTTCAGTCTTATCCGATGTGAGCTCTAAAGAGATGTAGGGCTGCGGCTTCCGAGTTGATGAGCAATCCCACGAAGGGGAACAGTCGCCCTCCGCTCGAGTGGCTATTCGATGAAGGCGCTCCATTTCAGGATTTATCAGAGGCGACAGAGAGCGATGATCATTTAGTTCGGCCAAAGTAGGCCCAGCCACTTTACAGTCCTCGATCACATCACTTTTAAAAAACTCCAGCTCCATATCGAAGTCTCCCCCGACTCCGCCGAACGGAGAACTAGGTAGTGCTTGGTAGCTGTCCCAGCCATTTCCTCCTCCTCCACCTCCACTCGACTCTCCCACGAAGGCAGTCCTTCTACCTTCGAAATCGTCATCTTCGAATGGAGAAAACACACCAAAACTATCTTCAAATGAACTCTCCACGTCCAATGGGAGCTGCAAAATAATGGAAGAGTTTAGAAATCGTTATGTAACTTTACAAATAAATCCTCGGAGAAAAGGAACAGATCGAGAGAAAAGACGCCAGGTTTGAGCAAACGCGAGTGCCACAAAAGTTCTCTCGCGAAAAAAACTTACTGGAGTGTACTCTATTCCTTGCTGCATGTACCTCTATGGTTTTTATAGTTATACAGTACGCTTCACAGAGAAAACAGGCGAGATTCTGCTCTTCACTCGAAGCAAATTTTCTTCTTTGTTATTGTTTTCATTCCGGCCACGGGTGAAATCAGCATCACGAGACCAGGTTTGTCAAACAAGAATTCGCCCAGCCAATCAAAACGCTCACCTTGGCCATTGGACTCCTCCTACTACAGGCAATTGTCACGGTTACAGAACCAAAACACTCTAAAAATGGCGAGATGTTTTGCTCGATCGAAGGGCTGTTTCCTCCGAATATTTACAGCTGCTTTAGCCGAAGAAAACAAGTCTTTTCCACACGCCTAGTGTACAAAAAGCACGTGCGGAAGAGGTAGGGAAAGTTGCTGAATCCGGAGTATTCTTTATTATATTTACGTCAACAACCAAATATAGCTGCTGCAGAGAGGTGACGGTAGTGTGCCCCAATTCCCTTCCCCTGACCAATCAGCGTGAGCTTTGCAGAATAATGATGACGTCATCATCACTCAGCGAAATCGAACGATACCTTGGTCACGTCCACGGATGTAAACAAACCCACGATTTCCACTGTAAAACGCGCTAAATCACGCTGAAGAACGTACTTTGAAAGCAATTCGTTTGAAAATGTGTCTTACTGAAAGATCGCAAAGAATTCCGATTCAATATATATTATTGCGGTGGTGGATATTTCTCGCAAGCAGCTGGAATGAAATATCTAAGCGTTTTCAGTGACAGTTCCAATCTTCTTCCTGTATTTATTAACCATAACCTTGTATTGCTTCATACTTTAGGGACTGGTCATTTCAAGATTTGAAAAACATGAATTTCTCGTTTCAGTGCATCACCACTACGTGGTAAAACCGGGCAGAATAAAATATTATTTTGAGAGGAGAGAGAGAAAAATACTTGTCATCAACCACTCAAGCATATAAGCCAATTTCCTGCACAGAAATCATGCCAATATTTCAAATGGCAATTCCTTTTGTATAAATATACACTGGTTTCTATTGGAATTCCAAAGTTGAAAATATTCACCCTGACCAAGTGAATGCAAGACTGTTCACATAAAGCACACTTGGCACAAATGGAACACACTGAAACAAAATATGAAAAGTCCAAACTGAAATTAAATTTATATTGAAACAATGTAGTTTTGCACTGTGTATTGACTGACTGAGCCAACAGAATTCAGGAATGATGTATGGGGGGGGGGNTACTACTTTGGACGGCTCAAGAAAGACAGTATTAGCAACAACGGTGCTATATCGTATCCTACGAGCAATGACAACTGACTCTTGGAACATTAAACACGACGATAACAAGATTTGACTACATTAAAAACTTTAAAAAAAAAATGTTTTCCTTTCTTGTCTTCTGGCAATTATATTAATCTTTTTTTCCCCTTTCTATACCTCCCACCAGGCGTGGTAAGAACAGGATGACTTCTAAAGATCCGATTTTCACAGAATTAAAAGATCTTATAAAGGAAATGATTATGTGATGTGTTGTAACATAATTCCACAATAACTGGCTCAGTTCATCAACAGTAATCTTATCCTGCCCAATTCAACTATTGAACTTCAACAGTTTACTTTACCTTTGTGAAACACACCTTGGCCCAGACATCAAGTTGATTCTACCAACAGTGGTCAAGAATACAGAGGGTGAAATTCAACATCTGGAATTTTCCAATAATTTTTTAAACCCACACTACACCACAAACACACATTTTTTGTTTTCAGATTTTAGCTTGCTTCCGTTCACTATGACAATGTGGAGCAAACAATCGAGGTTATAATTTCTAAATGAAACTTATCTGTGGTCTGGTAACTCTGTGCTTTGGTTGGAAATAATCACGTTTTAAGATCATTCACAGTCACATGCAACTGCGAACTATACTCAAGCATGTTCATTACTTTTCACACTCGTCTAAAGACTTACATTTGCAGAACTTACAAGAGAATTTTGTCACGAAATTGTTTTAATAGACGAAATAAGATGGCCTCCATAACTTATTTCATAATACCTTAAAAAAAAATTCAGAATTGACCCAAGATGTATTGGCATCAAACAGCCTCTCCAAAATAACAAATTTACAATAGTAACTGAAATGTGGTGTGGTGTGAAAATAGTTTCATTTTGGTCACAGTCGGAACTTAGCACTGAGTTGTCATTAGCATTTTCTTAGTTTTGACTAGTTGGTGAATCTAACTTAAGATCAAACAATGCATCCTTAATTCATGCCACTCCTTCAGGGCACCCAGATTGACATCCTATCATGGAGTTCAAATTTCAATCTTTAGCAGACACAATATAAGAAATCTGCCAGTCTGCACTATAAAGACAGTGCTATTCTTGAAATTCTATTCTACCATGTTAGGATCAGATTGTCAAAACAAACAGTCAAACAGCTTTCACAGATAAAATGCTGATGTAAACAATTCCATTGTTTATACATGTGTTCAGTTGTCAGTATGTACAGCCAAGGCAGAATTTTTTTTCTATGTTGAGTATCTGAAAGTTAGCTATGTGGCTAAATAAATTTACTAAAGTACAGGAGAGCCACACAAGCTGTTTGTGTACTCTTTTGTAGGTTTTAATAGTTAAAATGTTTAGAATTTACCAGTACTGAAAGACTTGTAAAAGTGGAAATTTTCACAAAAAAATCACACTAAATAAACATTATCTGCCTTTTTCCCCTATTTCAACACAGCATTAAAAACTAAAGGTCTCATGCAGTAAATAATCATTGACTTAGAACAAAATAGCATTTTGTACCATTGAATTTCACACAAATGAAAAATATCTGTTCAAGAAATGGATTTAAGAATTTGTTTCCTTTCACCCAATACTTTAAGAGCGTAAATCCGAAAATATCGAGAATCGGCCGACAGAAGCAAAATATCGAGTTTTTTCTTATTTGACCAAAAGAGCCCATTTGGTTAACTGTTTTCGGAAATGACATCAGAAGGTTCGATTTCCTTTTCTTTTCCTCAAAATTTGCAAAACGTGAAAATTCGGCCACAGGGCCTTCAGCGGTGGCCATGAGACTTGAAATTTGGCACATGTTTAACATACTCGTATGGACGTACCAAACGTTGTCTTAACATGTCCTTTACACAGTTTGTGGGGC